ATGAGCACACAGAGACGTGGGAGACTGCTGGCGGGAACCAAACTGTCAGAGGGAGAAGGGGAATGTGATGCAGCTGCAGCAGGGTCTCAGCAGAGCCCACGGGCCCTGCAGGGCTGTCCTGCCTTGGGATAAGGGGCCAGGCCTTTGCATCCTTCAGAGTTCGTCACTGCATTTGGGCTGTCCCTTTGAGGCAATTCTTGGGGAGGGACACAGCTATGAGCCAGCCAGCCACAGACAACTGTCCTAGCCACTAGATAATGTCCTAGCCACTAGGCCTGGGGCCTGGAAGGGGAATTGGGTGTTCACCAGCAGGTCTGTGGGACAGCTGCAGGAGGCACTGGGATGTGTGCTGAGAGAAAGAAGGTGGACTCTCTGAATCTGGGGCACAAGAGGGCTGCATGGGGAGCCTAAGGAGACAGGCTGAGATGAACAGGCCAGGTGACAAGGTCTTGAATGCCAGGACAGAGATGTGAGCTTTGTTCCTCCTGCAAAGGTTTTGAGGAAGATTATTTTTGGGGTTGTAAGGAGGCTGTGCAGCCCCTCAGGGGTCCCAAATCCTAAGTGTCCCTTTTGGCTGCTTCTTCCACAGACGTCTCCTAACTGGCTTGCTCTGGCCAACTCACATCCACCACTGTCCCCTCCCCCGAATCGGCTCCCTTCAAATTGTCACTCCCCACAGTGCAGCATTCATGCACCAGTTCTAAATGGTCCCACTGTTCAACTTGAAGGAGAAGTAATACCAATTCCCATGTTTGCTCAGAGAGCACCATATTTCATCAAACTAGAGCCCATGCTGGCTCAGATTTCTGACTGGGACAATGTTCTGTAATCCTGGTTTATTCACATGTCACGAGTATTTTAGCAAAACAGAAATGAATGGCCCGAGCCACCCCAGGAAGTGGCGGGAGAGCTGGGTTCCGCCCAGGGAAAGTCGGCCTTCTCCTGCCACAGCTCTCCAGGGAGCTGACTTGGATTCTCCAAGTTTCTCCCAATTTTAAGAAAGAGAGCATGGGCTGAGAAGGAGTCACAAAGTGGGTAGTTATTTCCCTATAAAACAGAAACTCCACGGATGGATATTGCCAGAGCAAAAATAAAATCTGTCATTGATTATAAAGTCCTTTGTGCTTGTTATTTTGCAGATTTATTACACTTGGGCCCAGAGGCCTGGAGGGCCTGGGATTCTGCCTCTCGCGCCCCAGCAAGCCTCCAGCCGCCTTTTCACACCGCACTCCCCAAATGGGAGCAGGGGCTCAAGTCGCTGGCATTTCTTTTGCCCTAATGGCCATGCACTTGGGAAAACTGGACCAGGAGCTACGTGAATCCTCCTCTGAAACACAGGGACCTACAGATACCAACACTAAGGCTCGCTGACAGAAGTCTATGACTTCTAATCAGGGAAACCTCCTTCCTTTTCCTTTTGGTTTTTTTCTTTCTTTTCCCCCGGCTTTGGCACTGTGTGCTAAGAAGTGCATTTTATCTGCAGAGCAAAGAATGGCCGGGCTGCACCTTCATCAGACCTGGAGTCTGGGTCCACATTAAATAGGCCAAATAGAACCTGTGTTATTTAGTCGCATCTCATGTTAAATCTTATCATTGAGCCTCGTGATACGGAACTCTTGTCCAGACTTTAGAATTGAAGAAACTGAGGTGCAGAGAAGGCAAAAAACTTGCTTCGGGCCACAAGCTGGGTGTGCAGGTGAAAAGGGGGACATGAACCCGGTCCCAGTTTGCTCCGAAGGATCATGTAGACCCTCTCACTTCAAACTGGTTGCTGTGAGGCCACAGACTGGGCTCGAGTGTGGGAGCTGAAGCAGAGCCTGGGGCCAAGCTTCTCACTTAGACAGGAGGCCACTGGGGCTCCAAACAGGTACTGTGGCTGACCAGGGTGACAGAGCTAATCAGAGGCACAAACAAATTAGCTGGACAATAGCACGAAACAACTGTTCAGGAACATTATGTGGCGTCACAAGGGGAAAGGTTCCTGATGAAAGCAGATGAAAGCTTGTCACAACTGTCCCGAGTGTGCCTTCTTTCCTCTGGCGGCGTAGAACTTCATGACTCGCTCTTCATTCTTTCCTCTGGGTTTTCTGAACTTAAGGAAGCGTGGCTATCCCAGAATGTGCAGCAGAGAGTCCTGGAAAACCAAGGGCCCCCCAAAACCTCTCACCTCCCTGGAGAGTGCACTTTCCACCACAGTTGGCACGTTCAAGACCTCAACACCCAGTAAGACTGGTTTCTGATGCTCATAGGACTAAGGTAATTTTAGTAGAAAGCTGTCAGAAATCACAGCTCTCAGGACATGAATCCACAGTCTGCCATCTCAACTTTTATTCTGAGCTGCAGCTCGAGCTATTAAAAACAAAACATTCTCACTGGCAAGCTCCACAATTAGCCTCATTTCCACGAGCTGTTCTGCATGAGCTGAAATTGCACAGAGATTGTTTCTCATCTTAGCAATGCTATTTGCAGGCCGTGCTGGGAGCCAGCAAGGATGTGACCCGGTGGTAATCTGAATTGCTTCACCAAACACATTTTTATCCCATCATCTCGGCTACATGAAAGGGGGCCATAGAGCTCCAGTGTTTAGACTTTACAGCCCCGCTGTTCAGCAATAAAATGAGGCAAGAAATATTAGCCGTCCCCAGCTGATGCCTTAATTCTTTCCCAACAATGTCAGAGAATCTGTGCCCAACGGTTTAGTGCCGGCTGAAGCCTGACCCTCGGGCTGGCGTGAATGGAGCGGGAATGAGTTAAGGAGAGTGAGAAGGCTTTGAGGGACACAGATCCAGAATAGCCCAGCTTGTCCCAGCCTCCTGCCGACTCCTCCTTTTCACAGGACTCGATTGTGTATGGCCCCAGCAGAGACAAAATACCCCTGAGCAGAGGTTACCTCCAGCTGGTACAGGTCAGAGGCATTCTGGGGCAGGAGAGGAGGGGGCAGAGGGGAAGTGAGGGGCACATGCAGAGGGGGGTGGGCAGGGCAGAGGAGGGAGCAGGAAAAGACAGTGTGGAGCGTTTACAGGGAGAGAGTCCTGGTGTCCAGGGCTGGAACTTGATCACGGCACCTCCACACTCTTTGAAAATGGGTCCAGAAGTTGGGTGCCATGTGTGCTAATTATTTTTTTTAAATGCTTCTCTGTAGTTTCCAAACGCTACAGGCCCCAAGTCCCAGGCTGGCCTCGCATTTCACACGGCAGGGTTTTTTTAAATTACAAATGGATTGTGTTTTACACACTAACAGAAGCTTTTTCCAGCAATTTTTTCTATTATTGCCTTGTGAGTCCTCCAAGAAAAGGAACCACTTTGGCTCAGAAAACCCAAAGCTACCAGGGAAGGGAACAGCATGTTCACAAACAGTCCTGTGAATGTGGCAGGGGCAGCATCCAGGACACCCCCCACTCCCCAGAAGGTGGTTGTATGGAGGCCCCTCCTTCCCTCAGAGGATTCCTAAGCTCTGTGTGGGCCTCGGCTCCTCCTCACAGCCTGCGGACGCTGTGGAGCCTTCCTCAGAAGAATGTCTTTAACATGCAAGGTAGTAAAAGAAGCCATTACATTAAAATGTCTTTATCAAAATATTCTAAAGACAACTTTGCAGCATAGTAATATATATGCCTTTTAAATTAACTCATTAAATAACTAGCAGAGGGCTTAACAACTAATTTTTAAATAGTGACAAGCCAAGAAGATACTTTGAGAAATCTGAAATTGCTCCCATGATACGAAAATATCTGTGCTTGGTGGTTATTGGTGACAAAGTCGCTGCCGGAGTGGTTGGCTGGCTGCCCTTCTGATGTTAGGAAACGCTGTTTCCGCTACAGGCTGGTGAAAATAAAGATGCAACCCCCCACTCAAATTCCCAGGCCCGGGGAAACTCTGCATAGGGGGAACCCTGCGAAAGGCGAGGGTCCAGGACCTTCTGCCAGTGCTGAGCTCAGGGCGCTGGGCTGGGAATTCAGGGCACCCTCACTTCATCTGGAAACCTTCTTGGGCAAGCCGCTGCTCCCCTCTCCTCTCCCGGGCTTCGGAGAGGTTTGGTGAAGCCCTTTGAAACCACGTCCTTCTTCAGGACAGTCCGATGGTTACGTGTCCCAAGTCCAAACGTTAGCAAGGACATTTGGTGTGTTCCTCCAAGGACTGGAATCTGTGTCCAGATCCAGGGTCAGCGAATGCACTGATTCTGGATCCTCTTTCCGGTGCCCTGCTGGCTGGGCTTTGGGGGCAGGATTTTATTCTCCAAGACTGCCCGGAGGGAAGGTGGGTCCCTCCCTAGGGCTTGCATTTGGGACACAGTGGCTAGGAGGCCACCGGCCTCACACTCATCACCTCCCTGCTCCTCACGAGGGAGCTGTCATTTCGCTGCCACTTACCAGTAGTCCTCAGATGCCATTGCAGGAGCAACCCTGCAGGCGGCCCTCCCGGCTTCCCCTCCCAGGCGCCCCAGCCCCCTCGCTCAGCCCGGCCAGCTCTTGGCGCCAAACACTGGAGCCTCCAGGGTCGCCGTTCTCGGGTTCCAGCCAGGGGAGCGGGGAGCGCGCTGCCCACGCCCACGCCCACGCCCCCACCCCGGCCGCACTCAGCGCACAACCTGCGCCGCCCGCCCCGCCACAGCCACAGCCACAGCCACAGCCGCAGCCGCAGCCGCCGCCGGGCGCGCACAGCCAGGCGGCACTCTCCTGCTGGCCGCTCCCCGGTGGTCCGGGAAGCGCGGCTGGTTCCCCGAAGGCGCCGCTGGCCCCCCGCCCCGCTCCACCCTCAGACCCTCCGGGCCCGCAGCTCCCTCCGTGCGCCACGAAGTTCCGCGGAGGCAGCGCCCGCCGGGCTGGGCTGGGGACGGACGGCGTGACGGCCGCAGGGAGCTGGGGCGCGGGCGGACTGAGCGCTAGTGGGTCGCCCCGCGCGCCCGCACCCGCCACCCCCGCCGCCAGGGCTGCCGCGCACCCATCCTGGGCCAGCGCCCGCGCCCTCCTCCTTGCCAACCCGGCCCTTCACCGCCGCCCAGCATGGCCCGGGGCCCCGCTCCCGCCAGCCCGGGACCAGGGTCCCATCTGCTGCCGCTGCTGCCCTGGCTCCTGCTGCTGCTGCAGGGAGCGGACAGCAGCCACACAGCCCCCGCCCGGCCCGCCCCGCCCATGGCCGCCTATGGCCTGGCCGGGGACAGGGACCCCCAGCGGCTCCCTGGGGACAGGGCCGCCGCTCCGGGCCCCGGCGCCCAGGACATGGTCGCTGTGCACATGCTGCGACTTTATGAGAAATACAGCCAACGGGGCGCGCGGCCCGGAGGGGGCAACACGGTGCGCAGCTTCAGGCCCAGGCTGGGTAAGTAGAGGCCGGAGCCTGTCCCTCTCTCCTTTCCTCATCTTCATCCTCACCCCTGCATCTCCACCCTCACCATTCACCCTCTACCCCTGCATCTCCGCGTCGCATCTTCCTTCCATTCGCGGTCACATCCATTCGGTGTTTCACTGAAGGTTCACCAAGCGCTCTGCCAGTCCCTGAGCCACCTCCCTGGGGTCACCAAAGCAGCCCAGAGTGACCGGTCAGGGGCTGCGGACCTGGAAGCTGTCACACTGGCTGATACAGTCCTCCCATACACAGGCTGTTAGCACAGGATGGAGAGGGGACTGGGCTGGGAAGCTCATGGGGGGGGGGGGGGTTGGTGTCACAGGGTCAGCTGTGTTGGCTCTGCACACCACGTAGGGCACTGCGGGGCATGGCAGGTGGGCAGAGAAGCTCCAGGCCCGGGTCCCAGACAGGGTGTGAGCCTCGAGCTGGGGCAGTGGGTGGACTTGGTGGCTGGGGAAGTAGGGTGGACCAAAAGGGGCCTTGGGTGACAGGCTTGAGGCCCACGGGGCACCGGCATGAAGCGCTGGGAGGGGGAGGAGGGGTGAGGAAGGCCCAGACGCGAGCACAGATTCTTTTCCCTCCGTACTTTGAATGGACCTGCACAGAGGCCACTTGCACGGCGTCCCCCTACTCAGAGCATCCCAGCCTGGACCTCACTGTCTGTCCACCTGGGCCGGGCTGCGCTGGGTCCCCGTGGAGCAGAGAGGTGGGACAGCCGGGTGCCAGGGTGGGGAGAAGACCCTGGTTGGAGATTTCTCATGGTCACAGGATGCCATTCCAGAACCTGTGGGTGGGGCCCTCTGCGACCCTTGTGGGGGAGGTGGCCCGGGGTCAGAAGAAAGACCCTTAGGAACAAGCGTGCTTTGGGGCCAGACGTCCTGGGCTCAGATCTGCCCCCTGATCAATGGCTTGTGATGCAGGTAGCACCTGTGGCTCCGAGCCGCGCCTGGAAAGCTTGGCCTCACAGACCCATGTGCTGGGAGCACCTGCTGGAGAGAGGCTGGTTCCCTACCCCGCACTGAGCAGCCTCGGGGGGCTCCAGGTCAACCAGAACTAACTCTGTCCTCCCTACTACTGTCCTCCCTATTCACCACTTGGGGCTATTTTTGCAGTAGCATTATTAATTAAGCCACTCAAGAATCATCGAGCATGGATGTGACCTTGAGCAAATCATTAAATCTCTGTGGACTTGTGTGTACTCATTCCACAAAATGGACATTCATGCCAGTATCTTCCCTGGGGGTGGCAGGAAGAGGAGCTGAGGTGATGTGTGTGAGCCGAGCTGCTGAGCCTGCTCTCTGCCAGGCACCAAACCCTACATGCTGTTCACCTAGGAGTTCAAGCATTTGTGTTCATAAAGGTGTAGTCTTGACCTTGCCCCCATCAAGTCAGTCCTCAAAGCATTGCCGTTGAGGAAAGCAAGACTGGCAAGGTCATTGCTGCAACAAGCAGTGAGCACCAAATGAGCCACCCACGGCTGCAGCCCCTGAAGGAGGTGCAGGTGATCTGTTTTCAGAGATGGGGGGAGGGGGGGGTGCCCACAGAGAGCAGGCTCAGCAGCTCAGTTTCTCATCCCCTCCCCCTTGATTCACTGAAGTTGTTTCTGATGCAACCACTCCCCAGCCTCAGAGAGGCTGCTTTCTGACCAGCCCTGAGGAGGTGTGAGCTGGGCAGGGCTCCCTCACCTTATGAATGAGGCTCTGGAACCAGAATGCCCTGGGCCAGCCTGCTCCAGGCGCTGCCTCTGCAGCTGGGTGGGTGGTGTCTCTTCCTGCTCAGCAGGTGCTGGGCCCTCAGCCCTAGTTTCCGGGAAGTATGCTCCTCACCTGCCGCTGGGCAGCCAGCTCGGTGCCCAGGACGGGCTGCGGGCCGCCTGGGTCCAGATCCTGTCTGTGACTAGGACAAGGGCCTGGACTTACTCATGCCTCAGCCTCTTCGTTACTGAAGTTCTGCCTTTCTTATAAGTTTTTTTTTTTTAAATGATCTGAAACATGTCAAGTGTTTAAAAGAATGCCTGATATTTGTCTCAATAATGTGTTAGCTCCCACTATTATTACTCCAGCCACCCTCCCTCCCTTCCCCTGCGTGTGCTTTGTTCCTTAGTAAGGCTCCCTCAGTGGAGAGCCTCTGAGCCTGACTTCAGGGTTAAGATTAGACACCCTACTCCAATAACCTGCATTAAACCTTAGCTCTCACCCACTGCTGTAATGCTGACACATTATGTTCCCTCTCTCAGCTTGACCTCTTCATCTGTAAAAGGAGTATAATAATACACACCTATCTGTCAGCAATGTCAACAGTCACATTCATTCCAGTTCCCCAAGTCTTTCTTAGCATCGAGGCTCACAATGCCAGCGTGCAGGGTGGCAGGTACCATAAGCTCAGATGGCACCAAGATGCATTTTCGGGCCCTGCCCAGAAACGCTCAGGAGCTGACACCAAGGGGACTGGGGGTGACTTCGAGATCCCCAAGGAGCAGGAGGAAAGGGCATGGGTAGTGCCAGGGAAGCCCTGGCAGCAGGTGAGACCTAAGGCAATGGAAGGGCAGGTGGCACTGGGCAGCTGTGGGGGTGAAGCAGTGGCTGCATGTCTGGCCCTGTGAGGACTTGGGTTTGAGGGAGAGAATGAGGTGAGGAGAGGGGCCAGTGCGTTATAACCCAGCCTTCAATAGCTCCAGAGTCCTAGAGGCTGTGGGGGCATACAGTGTTACATGGTGATGAGGGGATGGAGAGGGAGAGGGGGCGGAATTAGAAGAGAAGATGGAAGGGGAAGGAAGAGAAGAGAGTGGGGGAAAAGGGAGGGAGGGAGGGGAGGAGGGGGGAAGGAAGAGAAGGGAGTGGGAGACAGGGAGGGAGGGGAAGGAAGGGAAGGGAAGGGGAGAGAGAAAGGGAGGGGGAGAGAGGAAGGGAGGGGGAGAGAGGGAAGGGAAGAGGAAGGAAGGAGAGACTCAAGAGGAGGAGAAAGGAAAGAGGAAAAAGAAAGATCATAAAAGTAATGCTGGGGAAAATCTAGAAATCATAGAAAACCACAGTAAAGAGAAGTCACCCCTAATCAGCACCCAGATAGAACCAGATGTAGCATGTTGGTGGGATGTGTAGTTTGTAGGATCATATGTTCAACATGCAGGTAAAATGTGTTCCATTCTCATTTGAAGTTGCTTTTTTTATTGCTTCTTTTTATTGGGATTCCGTCTTTTTCTTCCTGATTTGTGGAGGTTTTTTATGTATTAAAGACAGTAACTCTTCACCTACAAAGGTGACTCCCTGTGAAGCCTGAGAGGGACCGAAAGGGGTGGGGTCTGGGCATAGTGGTCTGAGGCCATGCCTGGGACGAGCAGTGGCGGACACAGAGTGCAGGACGGCTGTGGACCAGCAGGTGCAAAGCCCAGAGGACTGGGATTGGTAGATGGTGGAGGGGAAGAGACTGTGAGTGTCCTCAGGCTCCTGTTGGGCGGGGAGGGGACAGGTGGCCCTTCCACTCACGGGGCAAGAGGCAGGGATCAGGGCGCAGTGCCCTGAGTACAGCCGATGTTCCCAGTGCCACAGGGCACCGTGCTGCGGTGATCTTACAACTTTAGGTGGTGGGTACAAATCTTCTGTGGTTTGCTGGGGAGGAAACTGAGGCACAGAGATGGTTCATGAGGTACAGAGAAGGCCGCAGAGCTAGTAAGTGCTGCAAGCAGACTAAACCTGACTCTGGGCTGCCTGAAAGACAGACCCTCCATTATCTCAGCTCTCCCTCCTCTGAATCACCACCCACTTCGTCCTTCCTCCAGCTCATGTGGTGCTTGTGTCTTCACTGGACTCTCCTCTGGTCACCTCGATGGCTGTTCCGAGGGCAATGGGTGACAGAATGCATCTCAGCGGCTCGCGTCCTGCTCCTGTAGGGGAAGCCCATCTGCTAAGTAGTGCAGACAGAGCTCCCACAGACCCCGCCCCATCACCAGCATGGGGTCCGGAGCACTGTCCCTTGGCCTTGTGCTGGACCCTAGGGACACGACAGCAGACAAAGCTGGCAAAGCCCCTGCTCTTTGGGAACATGTGTTTTGGGGGGATGGGGAAGTGACATGTACGTCAGGAGATGGGGAGGTGACACGGAGGTCAATGAGGCAGGGAGGGAACCACAGAGCCGCCTCGCGCTGGGCCAGTCCAGATGCTGCAGGCTCATAGCCCCCACCCAGTGCTTCCCAAACTTCTCTGCTGGTTAGAAGCCCTGAGCTGCAGGTGGCACTACAGATTCCTGCGCCCTATTTTCCAGGCTCTCAGAGTCACCTCCAGGGAGGAAGGCAGTGATCAGGGATCTGGTAAAGGCAGGCCTCGGCCATGACACCCAGGGGCTGCAGTGGTGGGGGGAGCCCGTCCCAATGTGCATTGACCACGCGCAGCAGGCCACACCTCATGGGGGAAGGGGGGTAAACAGGGGGAAGGGGGTAGGGGGCGCCACAACTCTGTGTGTTTGTCTGAGAAATAGATAAGAAGGGCCTGGAGGCCACCTGAGTCTGACTGGCAGTCCCAGGGCCTCTGTGTGTCCTCCCTTTCTCCCCTCTCTCATCGTCCCTAAGAGCAAGTGAGAATGCCCACCTGAACTATGCCTTCTTCCTATTGTAAACAATGACCTTACACTGAAGATTTTCATTTTGAAAGTAATCCCAGCCGATCCCCTGGGTGCAATGTGAGGGCATCCGCACCACCCAGCACCCAGCACCCAGCACCCAGCACCCAGCACACATCCACATCCCGAGCCCTGGAGCTCCGCCACTCCCCCAGCTTTGCCCAGCAGGCCCACTCAGCAGCAGGATATAAACCAGGGGCAGCCGTCCAGGCAGCTCTGGTCTGCTGGTCCGCAGCACCCCTGGGAGGCCCGGGGACCACTCCTCCCTCCCATTCAAACCCTAGAGAGGACCTGGCCATTCAAGGAGCTCCTGCTGCCAGGCCAGGCAGCTTCCTGGGGCTGCAGACCCGGAGGGGGGTTGGGTGGCCCTGGGAAGGAGGGTCACTTGGTAGACCCAGGAGAGAAAGAAAGAGGGGCTGGCAGCCCCAGGATGCAGGAGCAGAGCATTCTCCAGCTTCAGGTGGGCTGTTTGAGGCATCCCAGTCCCTACCATGGTCCGGGCCTCTGGGCAGCCTGGACATGGGGAAATTTTGTTGGTGACCTTGTGCAGTTGATTTTTTTCTTTGTAAACCAAGCAGAAGAGCCACTGGGCAGCCCAGCCATAGGTGCTCCATTGGCTGAATGTGGTCGTGTGCACAGAAAGGCTGCTGGCTCAGAGCCCAGGCAGGCAGACACCTGGGTTGCGGGTTTGGTTCCAGTCAGAGCACACACCCAAGGCCAGAGGCAAGTGTGTCTCTTCCAGCATCTCTCTCTCCTTCCCTCTCAGCATGTCCTGGGTGATGGCTGTTTTTAAGCCGTTGGGCAGCCAGGTGACTGTGTCCCGGGCCCTTTCCCCTCGGCGGCCCTCCGCACAGGACAGGCTGAGGCTAGCTCCTCCCCACCTCACGGGAAGAACAACGGCTGCCTGTAGTGTCTGTAGACAGAGGGCAGAGAAAGCAGAGGGAGGCCGCTCTCACAGCACTGGGACTCAGCCACGCCATCCGAACCCTATCCATTAATGTGCCAGAAGCCATTTGTTCCTCTGTTCACTGAGAGGTGTGTGTGTGAGTGTGTGTGTGCCCTTAGGTGGGGCTGACAGTTTAAGGGCCAGTAGCCTACGTGGCTCCATCTCCTTGTCTGCAGCGGGTTATTGACAGTCCCCAACCTCTGTGACCTTAATTCCTCACCCTTTGGGGATAGCAGAGGGCGCCCTCGTCAGTGTAATGTGAGAATTACAGGAGGATGGCCTGGCTGGCAGGAGGGGCTCCCTAAATGGGTGTTCCTCTTCCATCCCGCCCCCCTCTAACAGGCTGTGTCTGTCCTCCCCCTGCAGAAGTGGTCAACCGGAGGGCCTTGTATCTCTTCAACCTGACATCCCTACAGGACACGGAAATGATCCTCATGGCCACCTTCCACTTCTACTCGGAGCCACGGGGGCCCCAAGCTCACGAGGTGCCCTGCAAGCAGCGGGCCAAGAATGCGTCCTGCCGCCTGCTGCCTCCTGGACGGCCCGCCCGCCGCCTGCTCTTCCACAGCCTCTCGCCGAACACGGCCACGCAGGGGCTGCTCCGGGGGGCCATCGCCCTGGTGCCCCCGCCACAGGGCCTGTGGCAGGCCAGGGACATCTCCCCCATAGTCAAGGCGGCCCGCCGGGACGGCGAATTGCTTCTCTCCGCCGAGCTGGATTCGGGGGAGAAGGACCCTGGGGTGCCCAGCCCCAGCACCCATGCACCCTACATCCTCATCTATGCCAATGACCTGGCCATCTCGGAGCCCAATAGTGTGGCGGTGACACTGCAGAGATACGACCCCTTCCCTGCTGGAGACCCGGAGCCCGGCGCAGCCCCCAACAGCTCCACGGACCCCCGCGTCCGCCGGGCCACGCAGGCCACGGGGCCCTTCCACGACAATGAGCTGCCAGGGCTGGACGAGGAGCCAGCACCGGCGCCCCACGCCCCGCACGGCCACAAGCACGCCCTGTGGCCCAGCCCCTTCCGGACACTGAAGCCTCGGCCAGGGCGCAAGGACCGCAGGAGGAAGGGCCCGGACGCCTTCCCCGCCGCCGCCTCGCAGGTGCTGCACTTCGACGAGAAGACGATGCAGAAAGCCCGGAGGAGGCAGTGGGACGAGCCGAGGGTCTGCTCCCGGCGGTACCTGAAGGTGGACTTTGCAGACATTGGCTGGAACGAATGGATCATCTCTCCCAAGTCCTTCGATGCCTACTACTGTGCCGGAGCGTGTGAGTTCCCCATGCCCAAGGTAGGCTCCTGACTGGCTCTCAGCTGTTCCGGCTGGCCAGTCCCTCTGCCTTGTGCTGCTTCCTGTCTCTCAAACAGGATCAAAACCCCTCCCACCTACTGGGGCCTGGGGAGACGGCTCAGCCCCCCAGATGGATGTGCTTGGCTGTGCTTTTGAAAATGACGACTTGGCTGAACTAAGTTTTAAGTCAAAATGTCTCTGCCTTTGCCAAGGGGAGACTCCATCCTTAGGTCCATCCCTACAGCAGCCATCCGCAGAGGGTGCTCCCCGGAGACAGGACAGGTCAGCAGCTCCCTCCTCATCACATCATCTGCGCCTGTGACTAGCACAGCTGGTTTCAGTGAGCCAGGGAAGACTCCGCCTCCCTTCCTCCCATGCAGGTAGAGACCCCCAGCACACTGACCCTCAGGGTGCAGGAGTCTGCAGACACACGCCGTGGGCTGCCTGGTCCCCGAGCTGGACCAGAAAACATCTGAAGCCTCAGCTTCCCTCCAGGCTGTTAGGGGGGCTGTGGCTTCTTCTGTCCACCTCCCACCACCTGAGCCTGTGGCTGGTAGCCAGCTGATGCCTATCTTCAGCTGGCAGCGCACACTCCCCTTCTCTCAGCTCCTCCACTGAGTTCTGGCTCATGCCTTCCCATCCAGGAAAGGTAGTCAGTGTATAAATCCCACTGGAACCTCCAGAAGTCAGCCAGCTGGGAAACCCCCTAGCCAGCGGTGCATTCCCCTGCTTGGGCATTGGGAGCTTCTCAAAGCCCTGCGTGGGCAGAGAGAGGGCAGGAGGTGCCCCCAGGACGGGTGTACAGGAAGGTGGGGCAGAGTCAGGGCTCTCAGGCTCCAGCTGGCTGGCCCTGCAGGCCCCTGCCACCTGGCTGGCTGCCTTCCCACTTCCCTGACACCTGCCTGCATCCTGCAAATCAGAAGCCCCTCCCTCCCTCCCCACCCCTTGCTTCCCGCCAGTGGGCTGTCTTCCGCACAGTAACATAGAGCTCCGCCGGCTGAATCCTCTCCCCAGGTCAGGGTGCTTTGGAGCAGCGCTCGGGGTGTGCTGTGTGCCTGAGCCTCCTGGATGGCGAGGCTGCCTGGGGAGAAGAGCCTGCATGGCCGGTGAGCCGGGTTCCATGCCTGGCTGTCTTCCTGAGGCGTCTTGGTCAAGTTTCTTAGTCACTTTAAGTTTCTTCACCAGTGACATATAGGTAATAGCCACCCCCTGGGACTGGTACAGTGGAGAAAATGAGGTGATGCAGGTGACACAGCACTGACACCGCCCTCCGCCCTCTGCCTTCCCAAGAAGCGTCAGTGTCCAGGCCGCCGTGTGCACACATGTACACATGTGCGGCTGCCCGTCAGCGCCCAGAGCGCCGTGGAGCAAGCATGTGGGACTCTTGGGCCTGGAAACCGGGGCTGCTGTGGCCAGGCTGAACCCCCTGGGCATCCCCCTCTGAAGGCGCCTGCCCGGTTCCAGGTGCTCCTGCGGGACGGGTGATGAGCAGGTGCCCCCACGCGGCCAGTGCCCTGTGGGCGCTGTGATGGCTCTGAAAGGCCGGAGGAGCAGGAAGGCCTGAGGCTCTTGCAAACCTCCCAGGGACTCGGTCCATGGCTGACTTGGGAGGAAAGGGACCAGCCCTGGAATGGCACCTTTTCCTCTAGGCTGATGCCTTTTCCCAGGGCTGAGTGAAGGCCCTGCAGGCGCTCAGTGGGTGGGTGAGGGCACAGCGCTGCGGTAACCATACTCCTTTCCCCCTGCAGGTCGTCCGCCCGTCCAATCACGCCACCATCCAGAGCATCGTCAGGGCTGTGGGCATCGTCCCTGGCATCCCGGAGCCTTGCTGCGTTCCAGACAAGATGAGCCCTCTGGGGGTCCTCTTCCTGGATGAGAACCGGAATGTGGTTCTGAAGGTGTACCCCAACATGTCTGTGGAGACCTGTGCCTGCCGGTAAGACCGGTTGCTCCAGGGATGGAACCCCCCACCCCCAGGTGCCCTCAGGGGAGCAGCCTCCAGGCCCTGGAGTGAGAGTTGGACCAGAGGTGCCGCTGCAAAGGCAGGCTGCGCACAGGCAGCCTCGCGCCCAGGAGGGTCTGTCCCCAGCGTGTCGTCCGGGGCTTTTACTGCCGGTGACTGAGCCCCTAAAGGAACCCGAGAGGCAGCCCAGCCTGAAGGCTGGTCGCGCCCACCTGGCCCTGAGGCCTGCAAGTTGAACCTGTCCACACTGCTGGCGCCGGGCACCATCCCCTGGCCCTCAGCGGACACTGCACTCCGGGGCCTCGCTCCGCTCAGAGGAAACTGCCTCATTACACAATCACTTTAGCCACATGTTAATACTGGAAAACGGGCCCCAGCAACAGTAAAAACGGATGTTTCTTTCCCCAGATTCCACTGCAAGCCTTTACAGTCTGCACATGTAATCGATTTTCATTTCTTTTTCTTAATATATATTTTATTTTAAACAAGAAGGGGTTGTAACCATTCGGCATGGGTGATCGTGCTGGTCAAGTGTGCATTGTTTAAACATGCTTATTGAAATAACACGCAGCAATATCTTGGGATACTAAAAAATAATCAAGATGTTTATATTTTTATAAATTATACTTTATCTACTGTAGAGTGTGTGTGTTATGTGTTTTATGGAAAGCTAACAAATTAAAGGTACAGTGGTATCTTAAAAATTGAATGTTAGCAGTTTCAAAACTCTGACGGATCCCACCTGGGAGCACTCAGCCCGCATGGCTGCTGGGAGCACCTCCGTTAGGGTTAGCTGAGACCCTGTAGGCCATCTCTGCCCCAAACTTGGGAACCAGCTGCTCCAGTGCCCTCCCACCCTCTGGTCCAGGCTGCAGCAGCCCGGGTGGCCAGCAGCCTCCCGGAGCGTCTGCCCACTCCACCTCAGAGGGACATTGAATGGTCAGAGGGTCTGAGACATCACCAGGAACCTCTGCGGTCGGTGCCTGGTCCTGGCACTGCGGGGGACTCGGGCGCGCAGTCTGGAGTGGCTCTTGTGGGGCCAGCACTCCGGGCCTGGAGGGCTGCTCCCTGGCGTGGGGAGAACGGCCACCCCAGAGCAGCCTCCCGATGGCTCCCTTTCTCTGTGTGCGTGGTCTGCGATGCTGCTTACAGCCCGCTAGGGCGGATCGCCCAGAGTTTCCCCAGGAGAGTGTGGTGTCTGGCAGTTGTCTGGCTGGGACCTGAGCGGTTGGCAAGCCCAGTCTTGTTAGGAGGACATGGAGAAGCGGGGAGCAGGCCTCCAGGGGGGGCTTAGAGGAAAGACACCCATGGCGTCTGTCTTAGGCCAGGTCCCTGAGACCCGGGTTCCTCCACCAGATGCACGAGGAAGTCCCCAGGAGAAATGGAATGGCTAAAGCAGCACGGGGCGAGGGGGGGGGGGGGGGGGTGTACTGGGAGCCGAGTGCCCCAGCCTCGCCTGGGTCTTCTGGGGAGCTGTAGGGCTGAACTACCCCTGAGGGTTGGTCAGGCCTTGATCAGGGAGCTGGGTGTTCAGACCCCACCCCCGCTGTCTCAGGAGGGGTGATGGGAGGAACAGAAACTCCCAGCTCTCTGGCCCCTGCGCAGGCCGCCTTGGAAGAAGGCTGCAGTGCAGCTCCTGGACACAAGGCGACCGACAAGAGAGAGGGCCCAGGGCAGGGAGGCAGGAGTCCTGAGGCCTCTGGTCAGAGCTCCCAGCGATGCTCACTCCTCTGAGATGCTCCAATGGCCCTGCGACATGTGCGCACACAGCAGCCTGGCACACGGCCCTGCCTCCGGGCAGAGACCTGGTGAAATGAGGGAGTGCATTCCATTCCTGCAGGCGTGTTCTCTGTGAACTGCTGGGGTGGCTCACATGGCCGGCTAGCTTAGCACTCGGTGTGCCATGTCTAAGCCTTGTGGGGCCATGGCAGGACGTAAGTTAATGGGAAAATAAGGACAAAGCATCGGTCTGATGAGTCTCCCAGGCCTGCCTTCACGGTGTCAGATTCCTTATTTTCTCTTCTCCCTTCAATTTCCTCTCCTCCAATTGCTCTCTTTCCGTTTCTTGGTGGAAACGGGGAGACCTACGCTAGTTCTCTCTGTCATTTTCAGTTTCTGGGAGATCTTCCGAGTCACCCTGAAGGGCTAGAGCTCATCTGCTTTGTTTCTGGATCCGGGGTGGAGGGAGCAGGCTGGGAAGGCATCCAGGTGCTGCCATGGGTGCGACTCAGAGGTGCGACTTGGGAGTGCGGTGGAGGAGCTGTGCCTGGTGAACAGAGGGGAAGCCTTGGGGCACCTTTCAGCTACTTCTAGTCAGAGCCTCAGAAGCACAGGCTCAGGCTGGGGAGGTGCCCACGGGCCTTCCCAAGACGGGCAGTGTCAGCTTCGACACCAAGGCTGCTCCATCAAGGCCCATGCCTCCTGGCCAGTGGCCGAATTGCCAGCCTGTTGAGTTGTCCCAGCGGCACTGAATGACCTCACAGTAAAGCAAGGTTTAAAAGAAAACATGCAAATGAAACAACTTTATTTCCTTAAAACCCAAGTATCACCATCACACAAGAGGCTCGGGAAAGAGCCCAGTGTGTAGGTCCCTGCGGTCGCAGGTCTGGAGGCAGGAGTGGATGGCTGCCACCGGCCTGCTCCTGAGGCGACATCCTCTGGAAGGGTGAGTCCATGTGACAAATACAAACTGTGCCACTGAGAGCTAGCAGTGTAAGGCTGGGGGAAAACGTGGAAGACAGAGCCAGCCATTTCCTGAACTAGTGGGGAAACCGTGTCCAGATCCCACCAGGTGCCTTGTCTGAGGTGTCCCAACGGACACCTCTGTGTGCCCAATCCCCTCACATCACCCATCAGCGCTGTAGCTGTCACAGCACTTCTCAGCCAGGATGGAGGCAGAGCCATGTGGGGATGGGGGTGGTTGGGGAAGGTAATGGTGGCTGGGGGGAGTCAGCAGAGGTCTGGGGTGGGGTGGGAGGTATGAGGGGCTCACAAGGAGAGGAATGAAGGGGGCCCCACCAGGATGGAAGGGCTGGACTCATTGGTGGCAGAAAGGCACTGCAGATCCCACTTGAGCAGATGCGTGTGGTGGCACCCAGGCCAGGAGAGCTGGAGGGGTCAGAACCGGCGCTGACTGCAAATTGTGCTCATAAACATGATGTTTCAGTGCAAGGCTCTTCCCTTATCAAGGCTGGAAGCATAAGCCCCCCGGACACACCCACTTCACTTCTGAGATTCCCCTCTTCCCTCTTTTGCCTGAGGCTGATGCTGGGTCCAGCTCGGCCCACACTTATTAGGCAGAGTCCGGTCCCCACCTGGTCTCTTTCAGCAGCCCCTCCCCTCGAGGGGTGAGCAAAGGAATGGGCTGGTCATCATTCACTGCTCTAGCATCTACCAAGTACCAAGGCCCACGTTGGGCGGCATCTGCTACTTCTCCTTCTGCGGCTCCTACAGTCTTCCTCTACCAAACCAACCTGCACCTCCTCTGTCAAACCAACCTGCACTTCCTCTACCAAATCAACCTGCAATTCTACCAAACCAACCTGCAACTTCCTCTGCCAAACCAACCTGCACTTTCTCTACCAAATCAACCTGCAATTCTATCAAACCAACCTGCAACTTCCTCTGTCAAACCAACCTGCAACTTCCTCTACCAAACCAACCTGCAACTCTAGCCCGTCAGTCCCTGCAGGGCTCGGCCAGGTCACTGGGCCCTGTTTCTCACTCATGCCAACACTTGCCCTCCTGACCAGCTACCTGCTGCTAGCCCAGGACCACACTGTAAGAGCCACTGTCTTACATGTGTGCTCACCACCAGCACAGTCCTGAGACGGGGGAGCCACATGTTCAAATGCCAAGAGAATCGCAGGCACCCATGCTCTGCCTGCTCATGCTTCCTTCTTGCAGCTTCTGTTCTCCTGAGCGGCGGGTGGGTGAGTGTGGGGCTTGAGAAGCTCACAGAGGGACTGGCAGTGTCCTCGTTGCCATGCCTCCTGGGACAGCGGGAGTTCCTAAACCTTCCTCCCCCTGAGACAGCTGCTTCCTAGAAACCAGGCAGATGGCCCCACCCCCAGAAATGAAGGGTGAGCTCCATGTGTGCTGAAGGGATGGGCCTCAGCAATCCTTGAAATGAATGGATGCGTCCACCTGCCCTCTTATTCATTACCTCTCCCATAGCAATGGCACAGGATGACCCTAGTTCTGCCACTCACAGGTCCTGGGAGAGATGCTGTCACGGAGGCTTTGGTTAAAGTCACCACAGCACAGGAATGCTTACCATCTGGGCATCAAGTGCAGCTAGGACAAGGCTGAGCTGGCAGCCACCATCCTCAGCCTGGCCAACACCCCCGAAGCTCCTGAGCGTTCAAGGACACACGCAGCAATGAGCACGGAGGCCTGACCGAAGGAGCCTCAGTCCACAGGGAATGCAGGGCCTCAGTGGCAAACTGAATATGCCACCCAATCCAACAGCAGGCAGCAGGCCTCGGGCCCTTTGTAGTGGTTGTCAGACAAACCCATAAGTGCTGTTGCTCAGAATACACAGGCTGCTTGGCAATGGGCGGTGCTGAGCAGAAACTGGAGGCCAGGTGGGACTGGCCCAGGTGCAGGACGGTGGGAGGAGAACACGAAGCACAAGGCATCCCTACCTGAGACACAGCCAAGGCAGGGGCTCTGCAAAGAGGAGGACCGAGCCGCCCCAGGGCAATAGGAGCAGTTGGAAACATCTGACTGCACTGACCAGAGCAATAAGGAGAGCTTCCCCTGCACCAGGCTCTGTGGCCTGAGAGAGACCGGGGCCTCTGGGGCCTCGGTGCCTTCCCTGGACACAGCGTGCCACCAAAGCAAACCCCGAGCACAGCCCTGGCCTGCAGCGGTGAGAGGTGCTGCTGCTGTACCGTCTGGAAGGCTGATGTCCAGGCACAGGTGTGGCTCATCAAATGGGAAAATTAGTCCCGCTCAACCAGCCATGCACATTAG